CCTTCTTTCCATCTTTTCTCTTCTTTCTGCTCCAGATTCCAGTTAGTTGTTGAAATTCTTGTCTCTATGTCTCTTCTCTACCTCCCCCTTCCCTCCTGCCCCATCCTCTTCCCTCCCTCCCTCCCTTGTGAGATAGCCTAAACTTTAGCTTCTAGGCCTTATGATGAAATTTTAAATTTTGGTACATTTTAAAATTCTAACATCTCTTTCTGGTGGTTAGCATTCTCTTTTCATAAGATTCTATTCTTATTTTATATAATCTCTCTGAATATAGTAATTGTTGTTTAAAAAGACTTTACTTTTTAGAACAGTTTTAAAGAAAAATCTGGAAGACAGTACAGAGAGTTCCCATATATGCTGCTTTACATTAGCATCTGTTATAATTAATAAGTCAATATTATTATATTAATATTATGAGAGATCATACTTTATTCACATTAAGTTTTGTCTAATTTTTCTTTTCTGTTCCCAGGATCCTACCCAGGATCTGCTAATACATTTAGCTGTCATATCTCCTTAGGCTTCTTTTGGCTGTGACAATTTTGCAAATTTTCCTTGTTTTTGATGACCTTGACAGTTCTAAGGAGTGCTGGCCAGGTACTATCTAGTATGCTTGTCTACTGGAATTTGTCTTAGCATGCTTTCTTTTTTTTTTTTTTTTCTTAAATAGTTTATTGTCAAGTTGGTTTCCATATAACACCCAGTGCTCATCCCAATAAGTGCCCTCCTCCATGCCCATCACCCCCCTTCCATTTTCCCCCACCCCCATCAGCCCTCAGTTTGTTCTCAGCATTCAAGAGTCTCTCATAGTTTGCCTTCCTCCTTCTCCCCAGCTATTTTTCCCCTTCTTCTCCCCCATGGTCCTCCATTAAGTTCCTCCTAATCCACTTATACATGTAAACATATGGTATCTGTCCTTCTCTGCCTTATTTCGCTCAGCATAACACCCTCAAGGTCCATCCATGTTGCTACACATGGTCAGATTTCATTCTTTCTCATTGCCATGTAGTATTCCATTGTATAGATAAACCACATCTTCTTGATCCATTCATCAGTTGATGGACACTTAGGCCTTTTCCATGTTTTGTCTATTGTTGAGAGTGCTGCTATGAACATTGGGGTACATGTGCCCCTATGCATCAGCACTCCTGTATCCCTTGGGTAAATTTCTAGCAGTGGTCTTAGCATGCTTTCTTCTCTGTTATTTTGTTTATGCTTGTGAATAAATGCCAGGCTGCACTTTACTTTTGGGAACCAAGTAAAGAGTCAGCTGTTCACTGTTCTATATACCAACCTTCAATAAATCCCTATTTCTAATAATTCCCATCAGATCTGCCAACCCTGAGTTTGTAGCTACTCTGGGATTCTGCTGAGAGAATAAAGGAGAGCAGCTCACTTCTGCACTGCAGCCCATACACAGCCCCTCATTCTGGGCTGTGGTTTCCTTAGCCTGCTTCTGCCTTCCATCTTTAAGAAATATGTAAATCTTGGGGCGCCTAGGTGGCTCAGTTGGTTAAGCGTCCAACTTCGGCTCAGGTCATGATCTCACAGTTCGTGGGTTCGAGCCCCGCATCAGGCTCTGTGCTAACAGCTAGCTCAGAGCTTGGAGCCTGCTTCAGATTCTGTGTGTGTCTCTCACTCTGACCCTCCCCTGCTCACACTGTCTCTCTCTCTCTCTCTCTCTCTCAGAAATAAAAAACATTAAAAAAAAGAAATAAGTAAATCTCTTGACATTAATTTTTTCCTCTTGCATTCCTCTCTACTGTTTCATTTATTTTCATGTTTTAAATATTCCTTTAAATTCCTAGACTTTAACTTCAGAGAAGTTTGGGATGGAATGGGAAGAGAATGTATCTATTCAGTCTGTCATCTTTTACCTGAAGATTCCACAAGTCCACTAGTTAAAGAAAAATAAAATCTCTCCTAATAAACAAAGGAAGTATAAATGTCCATTAATGCATAATCATAGTTTTGTTATCATTTATAATTCTTTTGATATGGATTTAATTTATATTCCTGTCAGAGGTTTTATTAAAGCTTCTGGTAAAATTCAGTCAGGATAGGGTCTCCATAGGAAAAAGAATGCACTCATATGAACCTTTCATGAAGGGCCTATGTGTAAAGTCATGGGCAGGTTAAGAGAACACACAAGGGAATGGTGAGGCACCAGGAATAAGCAACAGAAGGATACTCTTACAATGCCTACAGCCAGAGGGACAAGGCAAGGAAAGGAGTTATAGGAGCGAGGTAGGCAAAAGAACTGTGGAGAGGAGGCCATCCCTCAGAAGCTGTAGTATACAGATATGGTTGCTGTGCCAAAACAAAGTGGGGAAGAAATGTCCATTCCTGGCAGTACAATCTACTGTCCAGACCCAACCTGAAGCTAGTCAGGGAAGAGGACCCAAAAGATGTAGTTTGTAGGAGTTGGAGCAGGGTTAAGAATAGATCAAGGGGTGGATAGAGAACTGATATTAAAACCTAATGTTTTTGAACAGACATTTCCCTAAAGAGACATATAGATGCCTAAGAGACACATGAAAAGATGCTCAACATCATCAATCATCAGGGAAGTACAAATGAAAACCACAATGAGATATTACCTCACACGTGTCAGAAGAGTTAAAATCAAAAGATAAGAAATAAGAAGTGTTGGTGATGTACAGAAAAGGGAACCTTCGTGTGTACTGTTGGCAGAAATGCAACTCTGTGCAGCCACAATGGAAAACAGTGTGAAGGGTCCTCAAAAAATTAAAAATAGAATTACCATATGACCCAGTAATTCCACTACTGGGTATTTACCTAAAGACTATGAAAACACTAATATGAAAAGATGTATTCACCCCTATATTTATTGCTGCATTGTTTACGAGAGCCAAACTATGAAAGCAGCTTGTGTCCATTGACTGATGAATGGATAAAGAACAGCTGCTATGTATATATGTGTGTGTGTGTGTGTGTGTGTGTGTGTATATGTATATGTGTACACACACACACACACACACACACACAGAGGAATATTATGCAGCCATAAAAAAGAGATGAAATATTGCCAGGGCTCCTGGCTGTGTGTGTGTGCGTGTGTGTGTGTTTGTGTGTATGTATGTATGTATATGTGTACACACACACACAGAGGGATATTATGCAGCCATAAAAAAGAGATGAAATATTGCCAGGGCTCCTGGGTGGCTCAGTTGGTTAAGCATCTGACTTTAGCTCATGTCATGATCTCATGGTTTGTGAGTTCGAGCCCCATGTCAGGCTCTATGCTGACAGCTCAGAGCCTTCAGATTCTGTGTCTCCTCCTTTCTCTGCCCCTCCCATGCTCATGCTCTGTCTCTCTCTGTCTCTCAATAATAAATAAAAACGTTAAAAAATTTTTTAAAAAAAGAAATGAAATCTTGCCATTTTCAACAACATGGATGGACCTAGAGGGTATAATGCTAACTGAAATACATCAATCACAGAAAGACAGACATCATATGATTTCACTAATGTTAATTTAAGAAGCAAAACAAATGAACAAAGGAAAAAAGAGACCAAAAAAAAGAGACTCTTAACTTCAGAAAACAAAATGGCAGTTGCCAGAGGGAGGTGGGTAGGGCGATGGTTGAAAAAGATAAAGAGACTTAAGACTACACTTATCATAATGAGCACTGAGTATACAATTATTCAATCACTATATTGTACACCTGAAACTAATATAACACTGTAAGTTAACTATACTGGAATTAAAATGAAAAAATAAGCAATAAATAAATAAAACTACAGCTTGCAACAAGAACCTAATGTTTTATTAGCAATATAGTTCAATACTAAATATTTGTGATTTGACAAAACATAAGTAGGAATATGTGATGTTGGATGTTATTATGTATAATGATCCCAATTAAATATGAAAAAAGACTAAGAGTCCTCATTCTCATGAGTACTTTTTAAAGGGGAACAACAACATGTAGCAGATGAGTCTAAAGCTAATCAGGGCCATCATACAAGTTAAGACAAACATTAAATCTATAGATGTAAAATAAATCATAACCAAACTTTGTATATCAAATGTAGAAATTTGTTACTATCATTAAAAATCTATGTTATATTGTACATAACATATGTAGAATAGATGTAGAATAGTGGTAACCCTAGGGTGGCAGTGATGGGAAGGGGGGAAGCATGAAGAGCTTTGGAAGTACTGGTGATATTTTGTTTCTTGATCTGGGTTCTAGTTACACAGATGTGATCACATTGTGAAAATTCATTGATGGCTGGGTGTGCTTATGAGCTGTGTTTTTTGTATATATATTATACTTCAACAAAAAATTCAACAAAAAATGATGACAGCCATGAATACAACTAAAAAAACTAACCAAACCAAACTTTGTTGAAGTATTTTTTTTTATCCTTCTTTAGGCATCCTCATGAACAAGTCAACAAAGATTTACTGGAACAACTAAAACAATGATAACCATTCAACACATGAAAGTCAGACCTTAGCTTCAAGGAATTTATGATCTGCTTAGGAAAGCTAAATATTTAGACATCAAATTAAGAATATTAATAAGCAACATATCAGTCTATGAAGAACACTATAGTAAAAAGAGATCCAATATCGGCATGTAACTGATTCTTACTGGAAAGCCTAGATGTAAATAACTCCTCAAGTGAGCGCTTTCTGTTGAGGATAGGTCAGTTAGGCCAAGTAGGCAAAAAGTCTTCAGAAGGTGTTTCAATGTTTGCTGTGGTTGGACAAGGGAGAGGGTGAGTGACACCCCATTTTCTGCTTCAGTGGGAGTAGCCCTATTTTTGTTTTATAAAACTATGGGTTCTGTGTTAGTTTTCATTTAACAAAAGAATTTTGTTGCTAAAATGAGCTTGAAAACCACTCGTCTAGAAATCTGACTTCTAGATTTGTATATCTCCATTGACATTATCTTACAGCTGAAAAATATTTTAAAACCCCTGAAACTCTAAAAATAAAACCCATTTTAAAAGAAAGTGAAAATTACCTGAAGTAAAGGGATAAAATCCTCCTGTTCTAGAGAGGTGCAGCTGGGCTTTGCCAGGAGACAGATAAACTTAGAGGCATCATCATGATGGTTATTCAGCAACCTACAAAAGAGACAAATGCTTAGGAAGTCTGGCTACTGAGAGCAAGGTCTACAACATCAACAGTTGCTAATTTCAGCCTCAACTGAGGGCCATTTAGATCTAGAATCAGGTTCTCTCTTTTCAATAATGAAAAAAAGGGAATTTTTCTATGCTCTTTTAAAAAATTTGTTTGTTTATTTATTTATACTTACTTATTTGAGAGAGTGTGAAGAGAGCAGACAAGCACAGGGAAGGACCACACAGAGAGGCAGAGAACCCCAAGCAGGCTCTGCATTGTTAGTACAGAACCCAATGTGGGGCTCGAACTCACGAACTGTGAGATCATGATCTGAGCTGAAATCAAGTCATCAGATGCCTAACCAACTGAGCTACCCAGGAGCCCCTCCAATCTCTTGATTTTGTCAAAGGGACACCTCAATAAAAGCTCAATAACAAAATGTCATATTATTTTTGTAGAACGTTTCTGGGGCTAAGACCAGAGTTAACTGAACTAATGCAGGGGAGAATGTCCATTCAGGGTTAGCACAGGACATCCAGACCCAGAACTCCAGAGCTACCCACCAGCCAGCCAAGAAAGAATATATCAGCTGGACTACTACACACCACATAAGGCAAAGACTTCTGTTTGCCCAGTTTGGCAGACATACTCAGGGCTCACCTATAGGGGGTTTCTGAAATTAGACTTTGAAGGACCGGTTTAAAAAAAAAAAAGAAAAGAAAACAATGAATGAATGCTCTTTTAAATCTTTAAGCTCTAAGAATTCTTCATGCCCAACTAATTACTGGACATTTCCACTTAGTAACTATACTCTAACAGCAAAGTTAAAGTATCAAAAACCAAATTTAAAATCTTCCCATCAAAGTCAGTCCTTTTCCTGGGCATCTATTTCTGTTAAAGGTGATAACATCTAAGTTATTTGGGCTTGAAAGTTTGAAGTCATTTCAAACTTATTTCCTTTCCTTATTTTATCCACATCCAATAAGTCTCCATATTTTCTTGTTTTCCTTCTTTAATCATTTACTGAATGCTATGTGTGCCCCGACCTGTGTCTAGCCTTGAAGATACCTGGGATACAAAGAAAATAAGTCACAGTTCTATTCTCTGTAAAGAGCTTATAGTCTACCAGATGGCCAACAGACACATGAAATGATGCTCAGCATCCCTCATCATCAGGGAAATACAAATCAAAACCACACTGAGATACCACCTCACGCCAGTCAGAGTGGCTAAAATGAGCAAATCAGGAGACTACAGATGCTGGCGAGGATGTGGAGAAATGGGAACCCTCTTGCACTGTTGGTAGGAATGCAAACTGGTGCAGTCACTCTGGAAAACAGTATGGAGGTTCTTCAAAAAATTAACAATAGAACTCCCTTATGACCCAGCAATAGCACTGCTAGGAATTTACCCAAGGGATACAGGGGTGCTGATTCATAGGGGCACATGCACCCCAATGTTTATAGCAGCACTTACAACAATAGCCAAATTATGGAAAGAGCCTAAATATTCATCAACTGACAAATGGATAAAGAAAATGTGATTTTTATATACAATGGAATACTACTTGGCAATGAGAAAGAATGAAATCTGGCCATTTGCATCAACATGGGTGGAACTGGAGGGTATTATGATACGTGAAATAAGTAAGTCAGAGAAAGACAGAAACCATATGTTTTCACTCATATGTGGATCTGGAGAAACTTAACCAAGTTAAGGACCAAGGGGGAAAAAGTTACAGAGGTGGAGGGAGGCAAACCATGAGACTTTTAAATACTGAGAACAAACTGAAGGCTGAAGGCTGATGGGGGTGGAGGAGAGGGGAAAGGGTGTGATGGGCATTAGGGAGGGCACTTTTTGGGTGAGCACTGGGTGTTGTTTGGAAACCAATTTGACAATAAATTATATTAAAAATAATAAAAAAATAAAAGTTTGATGACATAACATTTTCTGCTGCAAAAAGACAAAAAAAAAAAAGAGCTTATAGTCTAGTGAGAGTGCTACATCATTAAGATTATACTATTTATAAACTCAGATTATACTCTGTCATGTGACAGAAGTAATAAGCACGGGTGTCATGGGAGGACACAAGAGGGCCAGTGAGATTCCCCAGAATAGGTAAGCAGGAAAGAAGGATGCTGTGGGTTAGGAGGGCTGCATGTACAAATGCTTGGTGTGAGAGCAGGTGGAATATTCTGGCAACTACAAACACTGGGGTGGTAAGAGAAAGGGACATGAACATGTAGAGCTGGCCTTTTTATGTTAGATTAGGAAGCCTTGGAAGAATTTTATTCCAAGGAAGAATTTTAAGTTGGATAGGGACAAGATCAGATGTGTTTTTCAAAAATATCAAGCAAAAATCCAACCAAGGGCCTGAGCATGGATAGTGGCAGTGGGAGATGAAGAGAAAGGGACAAATCTGGTTGAACTAAAAAGGACAAGGTAGTTGATAGGTGTGGAGGGATGAATGGAAGGGGAAGTCCATAATGACTCCTAGGTTTCCAGCATGGATCCTTAAGTGCTTGGAATATAGGATGGAAATACAGGAGTCCTTAGGAATATTTCCTCAAAATGTTTTATACAACCATTCCCTTTTCTAATGCCAGTGTACCTTTGAGTTCAGTCAGGTCTTATTACTCCATGCTGAGACCAAAAGAAGGAAAAGGGTCAAAACAGATTTCAGTGTTCATCAAACCTTAAAACATAGGCAATTCATCCTGATATATTATTTGATTATTTAATTCCCTTTTTCAAAAATGTTCAGCAGCTCTCTACTACTTATATAAGTAAGTCTAAATGCCTCAGTTGAGCATTTAAGGCTCTCTGTAATTAGGTGGGAACCTGCCTACCTACCTATCTTACTACTTTGCTAAACAAAACTTCCACTTCAGGCAGCTGGCCTGGTCCACTATTCTCTAAGTGTGTCATGTGCATTCTTGCCTCTGTGCCGTTTCTCTTGCGATTCTACTCTCCTAGAATACCACCCTCTCAACTTTGCTACTGGAATGCTGGCTAGTCTTTAAGGTTCAGCTAATAATGCAAGTCTTCTTAGCTTCTCTCACAAGTAAATTCTTTACTGATCTTCATACTGTTTAATTTATATGCATTATATATACCATTGTACTGTTGTTGTTTTTTTTCCTTAGCAGCCAGCACAGTGACTTTCACACAGAAGATTCTCAAAAACTGTTTGTGATCTAATGGATGTATACTTAAAAACTGACTTCATCTGTGATTATTAAAGCTATGTATAATTTCTATATTAATTCTCCTTATCATTCTTTAGCATACTCAAGGCCCCTAAATATATACATAAACATATACACTTCAGAAAAAGATTAGTATGTAATAAGTGCTGACAGGAACCACCTCCTAGGACTAGAAAATGAGTGGGATGATTACAATAAAAAGGTGGTGAGATCTGTGTAAAGGAGCACTTTTATAAAGAAAGGATAACACAGATGAGAGCTACTCTGAGAGGAAAAAGACAAATGAAGGATGGCCTTTTCTGATCGGAAGCATGAAATAGAATGAAAAGGTGAATTATGATTTTCAGCCAATTATATGGCCAGTAAACTCTATATGGAAGAGAAAAGGAGATAAATAAAAGTTATGAAAGCTGGAGAAAGAAGGTAAACATAGCTACTCTGAATTGGTATCTTAAAACAAAATACTGTTTTGTTAATAGAAAAATGATACCCTGACATTCAAAGGCAAGAGAAAATAAAGCATAAAGAAGCTGGAGCACTATTACTTGACTGAGAGGAGCTTTGCCACAAAGCTGGTAATTCAGGAACTCAAAAAAGCCGTGGAGCAATACCTTTCCCCTAAAAATGTCCTGACTGTAAGAAAACAGATATCAGAGTACAGATATGAAATGGGCAATAAGGCAGGGAAAGGAGGAAAGGCAGAGGCAGGGAAACAAGAGCCCATGAAGGTGTTCATCCTCAAACCATTAAGAGGAGGGCTAGGAAGTCTCCATTCCATGAGTACTGAGACAGCAGGGAAATTATTTCTTGCTACTCTGTGACTTTTACATGTGACTTCACTTTTCAAGAATATATATGACCCTTAAAAGGCATTTTAAAAACCAAGAAACATATCATACGTTTGCACGTATAGGAGGACTAGGAGGAACTTGACGGAGGAACAAGGGGGAGAAGAAGGGGGGAAATGGTGGGGGAAAGGGAGAGAGGCCAAACCATGAGAGACTCTTGAATGCTGAGAAACAAACAGGACAGATGGATGTGGGGGGGAGAGGGGATGGGCATGGAGGAGGGCACTTGTGGGGATGAGCACTGAGTGTTATGTGGAAACTAATTTGACAATAAACTATTTGTAAAAAAATAAAATAAAATGTGGATTGCAAAAAAAAAAAAAAAAACCAAGAAACAGACTCAACAATAGAGAACAAATTGATGGTTACCAGGGGGAGAGCGGTAGAGGGATGGGTGAAATAGGTGATGGGGATAGAAGAGAGCACTTTTTGTGATGAGCCCAAATTATATGGTAGTGTTGAATCACTGTATTGCACACCTGAAACTATCATACTGTATGTTAACTAACTGGAATTTAAATACAAACTTAAAAAAAGATAAAATAAAAATAAAAGGCATTTTATGAGTGAAGAAAGGAGCTCCCACTAGAGGGCACTCCAACCATTTTAGTGCGATGTCATAAGATAAAACTTTAATACAGTGACATACACTCATCTAGTCACAGAAATATTTTTTCAAATGAATAAAGATAGGGACAGTTGCTCATACTATATGAATTCATAGACAGTCTCCTATAGTTCCCTAAAATGAAGACTTGTGCTTTGTGTCTTTTTTCCCCTTTTGCCTTTTGTAGAAATATCCTTTCCCTAGAGATAAAATTAAAATGATTCATCTCAATAAAAGAACATGGCTGTTGTGGCTGCTGCTGCTGCTCTACCTACCACATAAATGTCCAGCCTCTCAGTGACACACAGTCTTAAGACAAAAAACCTGGCTGTTATTCTCTTTAAGATTATGCAGTTAACTACAGGTAACTGAAGTTGGTTAACAGTTTTCTTTTGCTATAGTCAGCCTCAGACTCACCAATGTAGGGTCCTAGAATATTCAAATTGACTTAAAATAGAAGTAGCTACTTCTTTCTGGCTCTAATCTCTTATAGAATAGACTACTCTCTTTTTTTTTCAATCTGTCATCTTATTCAAAGATTTTTCTTAAACAATTATAACAATTATAACTCACTTCTCGCTGCTTTCACAGATTGTCAGATGACCACAATGCTGATCTCAATGGCTAAAGGTACCTCTGACAAAACCCGTGTAGTATCTCTATTCTTTCTACCCTTGCTTCATACTCCATCCAGCTAAGGCCTTGTCAGGGCCTGATATTTACCAGGTATAAACTACCAGGAATTTACCAGCGTGAAAGAAGCTAGCTAGCTGAACAAAAGTTAGAACATGCACACATTTCAAGTTCTTTAATTCTGCTACTGTTACTTGTTGATTTAAAAGTACAATAATAATTAATAACCCATAACTGGACCACCCAGCTGAAGTCTTGGCATTACTGGTGGGAAAAGGAGAGGGAATCCAAGCTGACTTCTCTGTTGTTCAGGCCCTAGGCTCTATTTTCTTCCTGGAGGTTCTAGGCTGCCAGAAATACCGATAATAAATACCCTAAGGGCAAATGCCAATTCTTTGGCTGGTTCACTTCTGTTAATTAGTACTTTTATGCTATTTCTAGCCTCTATGGAATTCCCTGACTTTTATGACTACTTATCCACACATTAAAAAAAAAAAAAGGCATTTCTTAGATTTTATCCAGCAGTTTTCTATTTGCTATAGGAGAGGTGGAATGGTGATCATGGCACTGACTTTGAAGTGTCACCTAGATAGTGTATGAGGAATGATTCTCCTAGGGCCTTTTCAGTTCTTGGTATTCAGACAACTTAGAACTATTCCCTTAACAAAATGAGTAAAATTCACCTGGAAAACATGAACTGTTTTAACATTTTGTGGTTCTTCAAAAAAAGTTCATTAACTGATAAGAGTTCTATATACTCCTAACTGTTGTTCTAATGTAATACAGGAAGAACTTGGTGAACTCCTAACTGTCGTTCTAATGTAATATAGGAAGAACTTGGTGAACTCAACTTGCTGCTAAATTTTTAAAAGTAAAAATACACTTATCAATCACCTACTATTCTCAAGCTGATACTACTAAGGGCTTTTAGGTGGCATGAAGGGAATAGAAGTACTCTGTATGCTGAATTCTGCTATTATATGTTGATTTTAAGTAATAATAGTGATGATGACAGTGAGGGTAACAGATGAATGGCATTTCCCAATAGTTTACCAGGAAGGGTATCTAGCCCAAAAAATGTGAGCAAAACATATGTAAACAAGGCTATAAACATGTAAAGAAGGCCAGTCAGTTAAAAGAGGTAGAAGGCAAGCTGTGACATTCTCTTAAAATGTATAAATATATCAAGAAATAACTTATAAAGAAGAAAAATGGGGAAAAAAAGGTTAAAATTAAAGTAAACTTGTCAGAGGTGAAACAGGTGATGAGGATTAAGAGTACACTTATGATGAACCATGAGATCATGGACCTGAGCTGAAATCAAGAGTTGGACTTAACCCACTGAGCCACCCAGGAACCCCTGGAAGCTGTATTTTTCACATGACACATATGGTCTGCTCCCCTTAAAAGAGATCTACTTTTTTTTTTTTTTAAGTTTATTTCTGAGAGAGAGACAGAGACAGAGACAGAGACAGAGAAACAGTCCCAAGTAGGCTCTGCACTGTCATCATAGAGCCTGACGTGGGGCTAGAACTCACAAACTTTGAGATCATGACCTGAGCTGAAATCAAGTCAAACACTTAACCTACTGAGCCACCCAGGTGCCCCAAGGAGAGTCTACTTTTTTTTTTTTTTTTTTTTTT